GCACCAGCCCCTATTGTTACCTTTTTATAAAAATAATTATTTCAGTGTCCTGGCCATTCTCTGAGACCTATATTTTGGACTTTAAAATGTCTTTCTGGTATGTTGGAAATGACAGAATCAATCTGTTGCTGTCAAATTGATGGTTCAGAATGTTTTAAACTCCATTTTTATTTTGGCACAAAGCCATTTATATTTCCCTGCCAGCTATTTTTGGCACTGTCATGAACTCTAAAATTAATGATTCTGCTCACTGAAAGTAGAAAATTTTCTTCTTTTTCAATATAGAAAAATTTCTAAATATTCTTACTCTCTTATTAATGTTCCTATCAAACTTGTACCATCTTAAAAATATGCTATAATAATTGGGATTTATTTGAACTTTGAAATTCTGTCAGCAATATGTGGATCCAGCCATCTGCAACAGAAATACTACTTCAAAAAAACGGGAGGAGGTGGTGGCATTGTGTCGTAATGGGTTAAGCTGCAGTCTGCAACACTGGCATCCCATATGAATGCTGGTTCGAGTCCTAGCTGTTCCATGCAGCTCTCTGGTGTGGCCTGGGAAAGCAGCAGAACATGGCCCAAGTGCTGTGCCCCTGCACCCATGTGTAGTCCAAGATGAAGCTCCTGGCTTTGGCACAGGCAGTTGTGGCCTTTGGGGAGTGAACTAGCAAATGGAAGCTAGCTATCTCTATTTTTCTAACACTTTTAGATAAATCTTTTGTTTTTTAAAGATTTATTTGAAAGATAAAGAGGGAGAGACACAGAATTGTCTTCCATCCCTTCCACCTGTATCTGCTGGTTCACTTCCCAGATGGCCCAACAATTGGGACTAGGCCAGGCCATAGTCTGGAGCTAGGAGCTCATCCTGGTCTTCCCATATGGGGGACAGGGTTCCAAATAGTTGGGCCTTCTTCCCCTGCCTTCCTAGGCACATTAACAGGAAGCTGGATCGGAAGCAGTGTGGTAGGGACTCACATCAACACTCTGATATGGGATGTTGGTGTTACAAATGGTGGCTTAATGTCCTGCATCATGATGCTGGGTCTGGAATATCACTTTTGAAGGTTGTTTCACATCACATATGACAGCTGATGATATTGGTTGTTTCACCTGGAGCTGTTAAATAGTGTAAGTCTGAAGATGCCTGGGTCTTCTGCTGTTTCTGTGTAAGGATCAGGAAAGCTTTTGGAATCTGTGGAGTCCCCAAACTAACCTTGTTTTCTTTATTAATTTGAGTAGAGAGAGGAAGAAAGAGAGGGACAGGCGGAGAGAGCTGCCATCTGCTGGTTCATTCACCAAATGCTCACAATGACCCCTGACTGGGACTGAAGCCATGAGCTGGAAACTCAGTCCAAGTCTCCTAAATGGGTGGCAGGAACCCAATCACTTGAGCCAGCACTACTATCTCCCAGGGTATGTGTATTGGCAGGAAGTTGGAGGGCAGATATCCAACCCAGAACTCCCTCATATAGGATATGGACATTGTAACCAGAGTCTTTAATCACTAATCAAATGCCTGCCAATCCTTGTTTGTTTAATATTTATTTATTTGAAAGGCAGAGTTGGAGAGGCAGAGGCAGAGAGAGATCAAGAAATCTTTCAATTTGTTGGTTCACTCCCCCAGATGGCTGCAATGACCAGTTCTAGTCCTGTCTGAAGCCAGGAGCCAGGAGATTATTCTGGGTCTCCCACATGGGTGCAGGGGCCCAAGGGCTTGGGCTGTCCTTCACTACTCTCCTAGGTGCATTATCAGGGAGCTAGATTGGAAGTGGAGCAGCTGGTACTCGAACCCGTGCCCATATGGGACACTGGCTTTGCAGGCAGTGGGTTTACTTGCTATGCCACAGCGCCAGACCCCACTATCCTTTTTTTTTTTTCCAAAAAAAAAAAAAGGGCTACTATTCATATGTAATTACTGGAAGAAGGATATTCTTATTTAGGGAAATACTTTTTTTTTTTAAGATTTATTGGGGCAGGTGTTGTGGCTAGAAAGTTAGGCCTTTGGCCGGCGCCGTGGCTCAATAGGCTAATCCTCCGCCGGCGCCGGCACATTGGGTTCTAGTCCCAGTTGGGGCACCGGATTCTGTCCCGGTTGCCCCTCTTCTAGGCCAGCTCTCTGCTGTGGCCTGGGAGTGCAGTGGAGGATGGCCCAAGTGCTTGGGCCCTGCACCCCATGGGAGACCAGGAGAAGCACCTGGCTCCTGCCTTCGGATCAGCACAGCGCGCCGGCCGTGCCGGCCATTGGAGGGTGAACCAACGGCAAAAGGAAAACCTTTCTCTTTCTCTCTGTCTCTCTCTCTCACTGTCCACTCTGCCTGTCAAAAAAAAAAAAAAAAAGTTAAGCCTTTGCCTGCAGTGTCAACATCCCATATGGGAACTGGTTCAAATCCCGACTGCACCACTTCCAATCCAGCTCCCTGTTAATGCAGCCTGGGAAAACAGTGGAAGATGGCGCAAATGCTTGGACCCCTGCACCCATGTTAGAAACCTGGAAGAAGCTCCTGGCTCCTGGCTTTGGCCTGGCCCAGCTGTGGCTGTTGCAGCCATTTGGGGAGTGAATCAGTGGATGGAAGATATTCTCTCTCTCTCTTCTCTGTATTACTTATTTGAAAGACACAGTTTTACACACACACACACACACACACACACACACAGAGGGAGAGACAGAGAGAGAGTGATCTTTCACTCACTGGTTCACTCGCCATAGCTGCAAAGACCAAAGCAGGGCTGGACCAGAGCCAGAGGCTTTGCTGAGTCACCCATGTGGGTGCAGGGGCCCAATGACTTGGGCCATCTTCCATCTACTGCTTTCCCAGGCCATTAGCAGGGAGCTGGAAAGGAAGTGGAGCATCCGGGACTTGAACCAGTACCCATATGGGTACAGCAGCCTGAGGCTTTACCTGCTGTGCAACAAGACCTGTCTGGAAAATATCTTTATACCCTCCCTGCTCTGGCCTAGACCTATACCATTCACTTAAAGCAGGAATAAGCACATATTACCTGAAAGGAAAGTTTGGGAAACGAGGCATTAATGAGAAGACATGGTCAGTTAAATGGTTCTGCATGAAGAGATCTGTTTTTCCATTAGATTATGTTACATGAGTGGTCTGGAGTGCCTTTGTAGATCCAAATGCTGTGATATATCAAAAAAAAAAATATGAATTGGAGTAGATGCTAAAGTGTTCAAGAACTCAGATCCTGGATCGAGATGGCCCTGGGTAACATCATTTAATAGTTGTGCAGCTTTGGGCAAAATACTTAATCTTCCAGTGTCTGGTTTCTTCATCTATAAAATAGAGACAGTACTTAATCTAAGATGGCATTGGCTAGAAGATGAAATATTCTGTGCCTATTAAGACAATTAGCACTGCCAGTAAACTGAAATATTCCATTATTTTAAAGAATCTTCATTGCAGTGATATTAAAATATGAAAAATGTACATCTTAGAAAGAAGTGATTACATATAGTAATGCCTACTTTTATTGGATTGTTGTAAGGATTAAGTGACTCAGCATTTGTAAAGAACTTAGAAAGTTCATGGTTGTGCTGTATATCAAGTTACCTGTATCATTATTATTGATATTAGTATACCTATTAAAATTTCCTTTTGAACCTTATCTCTCTCTTTTTTTAAAGATTTATTTAATTTATTTGAAAGTTAGAGTCACAGAGAGAGGTAGAGACAGAGAGAGAGGTCTTCCATCTGCTGGTTCACTCCCCAGATGGCTGCAACGGCCAGAGCTGTGCCGATCCGGAGCCAGGAGCCAGGAGCTTCCTCTGGGTCTCCTATGCGGGCGCAGGGGCCCAAGGACTTGGGTCATCCTCCACTGCTTTCCCTGGCCACAGTAGAGAGCTGGGTCGGAAGTGGAGCAGCTGGGACTCTAACCGGTGCCCACATGGGATGCCGGTGCTTCAGGCCAGGGCTTTAACCTGCTGTGCCACAGTGCCAGCCCCAGAACCTTATCTCTTAATTTTAGTCAGTTTCAAAAATATTTGTCCACACTGCCATGTCAAATTAGCTTTAATTTATTGAGAGACAGTATAATATAACCAAATTTGGAACCAGAATACTGATGCTGAGATTCAAATACTAGCTGTGCTACCTATTATGGAATTTTCAGACAAATTAGTCTCTTTTTGCATCAGTTTCCTCCTCTATAAGCAGGGATAATAAGTTAATTTGAAACGTGCTCGTACACAAAAAGCTCTTGGTTTATGGATTATCTTCGTTTTCTCTTTAAGGTTCCCCAGGGTTATATTTCTTACAGCATTAATGGAGATGAATATTTCTAAATGCATACAACTGGCTCAGAGTTTTAAAATAATAATATGACAATGGTAAATAGTGCTTACCTAAGAACTTTAATAGGTTGATTTGCTTAAACTTGACAACAGCTCTGTAGTAAGGTTTCTTATTGTCACCATTTGAGAGATGAGGGACCTGAGGTGTGGAGAAATAAAGTCGTGTGCCTACCACTGTTAAATGATGAAGGGTAGGACTCATAGTCTGCCAAGCTGGCTCTGGTCTGTGCTATCAGCCACTGTGTCTCTTGAGGCATTTCTGTCACAAAGCAGGCCATTTAATTGATTTTTTTAATAATTAAAAAGATGCTAAATGTAAAAAAAAAATGTATGACCCTTACCTCTGGTAACAAAATTTAGAAGGCTCTCAAAACTGGAAAGTTTTTCCTATCAGATTCATTGATTGAGAAGACCTAATTTGAATACTTGTAAGGCTATATAAATATTTAGCCAACTGTATATGCCTACTCTGTATTTTATTGCAGAAATATTAATGTATTTGAAATATGTAGTTCTATATTTCTAAAATTAAAAAAATTCTGTATTCCAAAACACAGATGACTTGTATATCAAAGGTTGTTTTCAACTTTATTAAATAAATATACCTTTAGCCAATACTAAAACAGGACTTAGTTTACATAGTTAATTTCCCCACACAAGATTTTTTTTAATATAATACTTTTGTTTTTGATAGGGCCCCTGAAATTATTCTCGGATTACCATTTTGTGAAGCTATTGACATGTGGTCACTGGGCTGTGTGATAGCTGAGCTATTCCTGGGATGGCCACTGTATCCTGGTGCTTCAGAATATGATCAGGTAAGAGTGTTTGGATGGAAACAGAAAAACACATAGTTACTTGTGAAATAGCTTCTAGAGGGAAGTGCTGGTGAAGTATTTAGTTACTAAAGAAAGAGTACTCTAATTACTACTACAGAATTTTTAATAGTAGAATTTTCTTTACCTGTTTTTTAATCTAAAGTCATATTTGCAATTCTACAATACATAGAAGGATTTCATTTTATAATAAAGACTAGTATGTTTGTCGGTCTATATTGGTTTGTTATACTTCATATGTGAGTTAAGATGAAAAATAAGGATGAAGAACTGCAATTTTAAAAGTGAACTTTGGATCACTCAGAGGTATTATTTCCTTTTATGTATGACACACACTGAAGAAAGTACTCTCTTCAGACTAAATACATTAGGTTCTAGAAATTGATGCATTTGGGGTTGCTGTGAAACAGTATTCAGGAGGGAAATTATCTGAGTTGTTCAGTGTTATAATAAATGATTTATGTTTCAAAATAGACACACTTTAGTATAAGATATGCCACAGTTTTCTAAGGAGTGGGTCCACTGAGGGGAAAAAATTGCCATTTTAATAAATTATGTATTTTTATTTCTTGTTCTTTTTTTAAAAAAATGTGCCCTCTATACTGTAAGCTCCTTGAGAGTAGATACTTTTCATTTTACCAGTGCATCCTCAGCTCTAGATACTGTGGCACACAAGTTTGTCTCCCCTTCCTTCCTTCCTACTTCCGCCCTCCCTCTCTCCCAGTTATCTGGAAGATAGGAACAATGTTTTCTCTATTAATGTAGAACTTTCTGACATGCTTTGAATGAAGTATAAAAAATGAGTTGCCCATGTGATAAGTAAACAGTAACATTGCGCTTTGTAATTTAAAAAAATGTATATTTAAAAAATTTGCGAGACTGAGAGAAGGGCAGTGGTTGGGGGGGTGGGAGAGAGAGAGATTGATTCAGTGTGCTCCTATCTGCTGGTTTACTCTGCAATACAGCTGAGGCTAAGCTGGGCTGAAACTCAGTCCCAGGTGTCAAGAACCCAGTTACTTCAGCTACTACCTTTGCCTCTCAGAGTCTATGTTAGGATGAAGCTAGAGTCAGGAATCAGAGTTGGGATTCAAACCCATCACTCTGTGGCCTGAGTGTCTTAACTGCTAGGATAAAAACTACCACTATGCCTTGTGAATTTTTAATCTTTTATTTCCTTTACTTTATGAGCCACAAGACAGCTTCCTTCTTTTACTACACACACATGTACACACACGCAGAGATACGATGTAAAAACTCAGTGTTTGTTAAATCAGTGCTTATGTTTTGGTGTATCGTGTTTATATATTGTGTATTTGCACCATGTATGTATTTGAGTAACTACTTTGTGTCAGGTACTATAGGCATTGAGCATACAGTGCATACAGTGCAGAATAAAACACTATCCTTGCGCCGGCGCTGCAGCTCACTAGGCTAATCCTCCGCCTTGCGGCGCTGGCACACCGGGTTCTAGTCCCGGTCGGGGCGCCGGATTCTCTCCCGGTTGCCCCTCTTCCAGGCCAGCTCTCTGCTGTGGCCAGAGAGTGCAGTGGAGGATGGCCCAAGTGCTTGGGCCCTGCACCCCATGGGAGACCAGGATAAGTACCTGGCTCCTGCCATCGGATCAGTGTGGTGCGCCGGCCGAAGCGTGCCGGCCGCAGCGGCCATTGGAGGGTGAACCAACGGCAAAGGAAGACCTTTCTCTCTGTCTCTCTCTCTCACTGTCCACTCTGCCTGTCAACAACAAACAAACAAACAAACAAACAAAAAAAAACAAAACACTATCCTTGCCCTCATATGGGCATCAGTTGGGTGGTGGGGAACAGATGGTAAGTAAACAATTATAAAACTAATTGTATAATATAGTTGAAATAAATTCTGTGAAGGAAAATAGAGTTTACAGTATGTGAGTATGGGCACACTTATGTACAGACCTGTTGACCATTAATGTCCTAAATATTTCTTGATTATTTTCTTTTTTTTTTCCTTTGCTAGTGTGATAGTCCAGGCTGTTGGTCATTTACCGGGGCTACTGGACCATATCTCTTCTGCTGTGATATTTCTCCAGTCTTTTTATTCAGAGTGATTTTTTTCAAAGCACAATTTTGGACATGTCATCCTGATATACTTCAGTGGTTTCCCATTGCTTTTGGAATATAAGGGCTAAGTCCTTAACACGTCCCCTGAGCTCCCACATGGGCTGTCCGTCCATCAGGGTCCTGCCTTTTTTCCTGTCTAGATTGATCTTACACCATTTTCCCTTCCTGTCAGTGCTGTTGCTTCATTGGAATCATACCAGCGCTGGTTAAGAATATGTGTAAGGGTCTGTGTGCATATTGTTTATGTAGTCTGAAATACTTCTCCATCATCCATTCATTTCATTTAGTTAGTGCTTACTCATTTATCAGCTGAAGGGTCACTTCCCAAAGGAGCCTTTTCTCTCCAGTCCCCAGTCTAGGTCAGGTTCCTTTGTTCTGTATTTTTATAGAAGCCTAATTTCTTCAGAATGCTGACACACTTTGAATTATACATTCAGTGTTGGTTTCCCCTATTAGACTGAAAACTCTATGAGACCAAGAACTGTGTCTATTTAAAAAATCACCACTGCTTGCCTTAATGAGTACATAATGAAAGAATGAATGAATACATTCTACATATAATTATGTTCCTTGTATAATCTTGTGGATATAAATGAGGATATGTTTTTCATCAAATCTAAGACACTGTTGATTAAAGACACAATATTTTTCTGTACCTCTATGAAAGAAAGAATGGTGCCAATTAAACCATGGCAGTTCTCAGTTGTAAGTCAGAGCCTAATGTCAAAGATTTTAATGGAAAAATACACCTGTTAGAATCAATGGAATCTAGGGTTGGCTCTGTGGCTTAGCAGGTAAAGCCGCTCTCTGCAGCACTTGCATCCCATATACGCGCCAAGTTTTTAAAGATTTATTTATTTATTTGAAACGGCAGAGTTAGAATGAGAGAGGCAGAGATCTTTGATCCACTGGTTCACCTCCCAAATGGCCACAGTGGCTGGGGCTAGGCCATTCTGGAGCCAGGAGCTTCTTCCAGGTCTCCCACGTGGGTAGCAAGGACCTAAGCACTTGGACTATCTCCCACTGTTTCCCCAGCCACATTAGCAGGGAACTGAATTGGAAGTAAAGCAGCTGGGACTTGAACCAGTACCCAAATGAGATGTAAGGTAGGCAACAGTTTTACCCTCTATGCCACAACATCAGCCCCTAAAATCTAATCTAATGACACTTTTTTAATTTGTAATTTTTTTTTTTTTTTCATTTTAAAGATTTATTTATCAGGGCTGATGCTGTGGCGTAGCAGGTAAAACCGCTGCCTGCAATGCCGGCATCCCATATGGGCGCCAGTTCAAGTCCCAGCTGCTCCACTTCCAATCCTGCTCTCTGCTATGGCCTGGGAAGGCAATAGAAGATGGCCCAAGTCCTTGGGCCCCTGCATCTACACGGGAGACCCAGAGGAAGCTCCTGGCTCCTGGCTTTGGATTGGCACAGCTCTGGCTGTTGGGTCCAGTTGGGGAATGAATCAGCGGATGGAAGACTCTCTCTCTCTGCCTCCTTTTCTCTCTCTGTGTAACTCTTTCAAATAAATAAATAAAAAGAATTACAGAGAGGCAGAGAGAGTGGTCTTCCATCTGCTGGTTTACTCTCCAGATAGCCACAGTGACCGGAGCTGCACTGATCAGGAGCCAGGAGCTTCTTCTAGGTCTCTCACATGGGTGCAGGGGCCCAAGCACTTGGACCATCATCCATTGCTTTTCCAGGCCACAGCAGAGTGCTGGATTGGAAGTGGAGCAGCTGGGACTCGAATTGGTGCCTATATGGAATGTCAGCTCTGCAGGCAGCAGCTTTACCTGCTATGCTACAGTGCTGGCTCCTATAATCTGCTTTTATATATAATATATTGTGAAATATCTTTACATGGCAATTTGTATACTTTCACCTTAATCTAAATGTCTGCATAGTATTTTATTATATATGCCACAGCACTGGCCTCCAAGCAGTTAATTTCTTTGCAATACTCTTTTGGCTTGAGTTATAGTCAAGTGTTTAATAATTTTCACTTTAACTCTAAATTGACATTTGATGGTTTTGATGTTTCAGATTCGTTACATTTCACAAACACAAGGCCTACCAGCTGAATATCTTCTCAGCGCTGGGACAAAAACAACTAGGTTCTTCAACAGGGATCCTAATTTGGGCTACCCACTGTGGAGACTTAAGGTGTGTCTTCCCTGTCATATTACTCATTTCTGTACTCTCCATGCCCAAGTTTGAATTCAGAGTGAGTTTACTTCTTAAATTCTTGAGGTAGAAGAGGGGAAAGCATAGACGAAAATGCATTTTTCAGGAGGATACACTTTAAGAATTACTGTATGTTCCTATTTGCATTATCTTTAGTTTAAAACAAACTTTAAGTGCCATTTCAATCGACTGAAATTATTTTGTTTATTTTTTGTAACAGTGAGTAGTGTTCACAGGGAAATTTAGTAATGACTATTTTTAAAGAGAATTCTCAATAAACATGGCAAAACAACATAATTTTCTAACTTATATTCAGGCTTTGTATATTTTCTTGAAATAGATATTTGGTTTTTGTGTCTGAGCCTTTTCCTTCAACTTGAGAACCCTCTAACTCTGCCTCAGCATCCTGAACAGTTAGCATCTGAGATATCATTTCATTTCAGAATAGCTGTAAGAGAAAAATGGTAATGTTCCTTCTTACCTGACCCCCTTCAGGAGCTGTGCTCCATCATTGCTTCATGTTTATTTCATCACCGTTGACGGGGTGGCCAGATATCAAGGGGCTGTCTCTCCACTGGAAGGTTTTTCTGATTGTAAATTATTTTCAGGTTTGCCATCTTTGGTTGGCAAGGTAATGACACGTAGTCTGCTTTTAATTTAAAATAAAATTTGAAAATAACATACAGATAGAATTTTTAAAAAGTATTATTTTATAGACACCTGAAGAACATGAGTTGGAGACTGGAATAAAATCAAAAGAAGCTCGGAAGTACATTTTCAACTGTTTAGATGACATGGCTCAGGTAGGAATGGAAAGTTTCAAAGACATTTATTTATTTCCTTAAATACAAACACTTCTATTGGTTATGCAAAAGAAAAATGTTATTTTTCTAGTATTTACTTTTCATTTTTCACAGAAAAATATATATTGATACTCTGCAATGTGCTTATTATTTGAATCCTAACAAGGATACTTTTAGAATTACCAGTTAAGCACCCCTATTAAAAATCTGAAATGTTCCAAAATCTGAAATTCTTCAAAATCTGAAATACTTCTGGTCCCAAGCATTTGAGTAAGACATACTCAACCTGTTTATAGTTCTTTGATTTTGCCTAACTGGTCTTACATAACAATATTTTTTAAGATATCATTTATCAAAGTTTTTTGTCTGATTTTATCTGCTAAATATGGAAGAGCTGATATTTATTGAGTGCTTATTATGTTCCAGACTCAGCTTAAACACTTTATATTTATGTCATTTAATCTTTTCAATAATAGAAATGTTTATATATAAATAATCACAAATGCTTTTGCTTAACTTGCCTGCTGTAAATTATTATTATTGTTTTTAAAAAGATTTTTATTTATTTGTTTGAAAGGCAGTGTTATATATAGAGAGAGAGAGAAGGAGAAAGATCGATCTTCCATCCAATGGTTTGCTCTCCAGGTGGCTGCAACTGCCAGGGTTGGGCCAGGCCGAAGCTAGGAGCCAGGAACTTCATCCAAATCTCCCATGTGGGTGGCAGGGACCCAATTTCTTGGACCATCTTCTGCTGCTTTCTCGGGCACATCTGCAGGGAACTGGATTGGAAGTGGAGCAGCCAGTACTCAAACTGATACCTGCCCTATTTGTGGCTGCTTAACCTGCTGTGCCACAATGCTGGCCCCAAGCTCTAGATTTTAATGACAAAATTTATTCAGTTTTATTCTACCAGTAAATTTAGGCAAAGACTGAAATTAGGTAGTATAAGAAGTGTTCCCTCCTGTGAAAATGATTATACTGTAATAAAAAGAATTTCTCCAGGTTTTTCTTTCTTTGCTCACAAAGAAAAACCTCTAATGCTGATACTAAGATATACGTGGCTCACTAGGCTAATCCTCTGCCTTGTGGCGCCGGCACACCAGGTTCTGGTCCCGGTTGGGGCACCGGATTCTGTCCCGGTTGCCCCTCTTCCAGGCCAGCTCTCTGCTGTGGCCCGGGAGTGCAGTGGAGGATGGCCCAAGTCCTTGAGCCCTGCACCCCATGGGCGACCAGGATAAGTACCTGGCTCCTGCCATCGGATCAGCGCGGTGCGCTGGCCGCAGCGGCCATTGGAGGGCGAACCAACGGCAAAGGAAGACCTTTCTCTCTGTCTCTCTCTCACTGTCCACTCTGCCTGTCAAAAAAAAAAAAAAAAAAAAAAGATATACGAAAGGAAAAAAAAGAGGGGGGAACCTGGTGCTGTGGAGTGGAGGGCTAAGCCTCCACCTGGGGCGCCAGCTTCCCATATGGGCACTGGTTCGTGTTCTGGGTGCTTCTTTTCTGATCCAGCTCTCTGCTATGGCTGGGGAAAGCAGTAGAAGATGGCTCAAGTGCTTGGGCCCCTGCATTCATGTGGGAGACCCAGAGAAAGCTCCTGGCTCCTGGCTTCAGATGGGCCCAGCTCTGTCCACTGCGGCCATTTGGGGAGTGAGCCAGTGGATAGAAGACCTTTCTGTCTCTTCCCTCTCTCTCTGTCTCTAACTATACCTCTCAAATAAATAAATAAATAAAAAGGTGACACATTAAATGTTTAATCTGCTGCTTAAGTGAAGAAGTATAATATTTCCAAATTTTCCTTTGAAGGTGAATATGTCTACAGACTTAGAGGGAACAGACATGTTGGCAGAGAAGGCGGATCGAAGAGAATACATTGATCTTTTAAAAAAAATGTTAACAATTGATGCAGATAAGAGAATTACTCCTCTGAAAACTCTGAACCATCAGTTTGTAACAATGACCCACCTTCTGGATTTTCCGCATAGCAATCAGTGAGTATGGTAGAGACTGGGACTTTTTGCTATGATGTGGTTCTTGGTTGTATGACAATCTTATAAATGGAACTGTCAGTTGAGCAGCAACTTTAGTTTAGTGCCTGTGTGTCTGACTCACTGATGCTTTTCTTTCTAATTGAAAAATCATGAGATTAAAAACCACTTGTGTATTTTTCCTCTCTATGGCTATAAATCTCTGCATTTATTTTGTCTGAAAGTACTTAAAAAAGCGTTGTATTGGGTTATTTGCTTAAGCATTCATTGTGTGCCTCTTTGATCTTTTTCAGTGTTAAATCTTGTTTTCAGAACATGGAGATCTGCAAGCGGAGGGTTCACATGTATGATACAGTGAGTCAGATCAAGAGTCCTTTCACTACACATGTTGCCCCAAATACAAGCACAAATCTAACAATGAGCTTCAGCAACCAGCTCAATACAGTGCATAATCAGGTATTCAATAAGTTATTTTGGAAACTCATGCTATAGTGGGACAGTAACAAGTAAGAGTGCAGGGTGAGATGAAAACAGTCTTTGTTTTGTTTTTGTTGCTTCCTAATTTTTTTACTTGGCAAAAGTGAGGGAAGATGGGTTGGTAATACTTGAAATGTACATGCTGGCAAAAATGAAACAAATCCTAAATCTTACCACAGTCCAGTAATGGGTTTTGACTGTTACACTGCTTTACTATTATACTAACTGTAGCCAAATGACTCTCTTTCTCTCTGTTAAGGATTTTATGTGTCTCATTACTTTATTAGAGGTATTTCCAAAAAATAAACTTTAAGGGTGCTTTTGTATTTGTTTTCCAGCCAGTGATATTTACATTTAAGTTTGCTTTTGGAGGTGTAAACTTCCCAGTTCATTTGTTTTTAATTTTTAAAAAATATTTATTTTTTTAAAGGCAGAGTTACAGAGAGGCAGAGAGAGAGAGAGGGAGAGAGAGAGAGAGAAACTCTTCATCTGCTAGTTCACTCCCCAAATGGCTGCAATGGCCAGAACTGAACCAATCCAAAGCCAGGAGTCAGGAGCTTCTTCTGGGTCTCCCATCTTCTGCTTTCTCAGGCCATAGCAGAGAGCTGGATTGGAAGTGGAGCAGCCAGGTCTACCTGGCGCCCCTGTGGAGTGCCGGCACTGCAGACAGCGGCTTTACCCGCAACGCCACAGCACCAGCCCCTGTTTTTTAATTTTTTTAAGAGATTTATTTATTTATTTGAGAGGCAGAGTTACAGAGAGAGGGAGAGACTGAAAAGTCCTCCATGCATTGGTTCACTCTCCAAATGGCCGCAACAGGCAGAGCTGGGCCAATCCAAAGCCAGGAGCTAGGAGCCTCCTTTGGGTCTCCCACATTGGTGCAGGGGCCCAAGCACTTGGGCTATCTTCTGCTACCTTCCCAGGCCACTAACAGGGAGCTGTACTGGAAGTGGTACAGCCAGGACTCGAACCAGTGCCCATATGGGATGCCTGTGCCACAAGCGGAGGCTTAACCTACTATGCTGTAGCGCTGGCCCCAGCTTTCCTGTTTATTAGCTGGCTAGCTCCCCTTTTTAAATAGAGGAACATATGAGATTTGATAAGGTTGCTGGCCCAGCAGTGTTTTGTATAGAATGGGTGGGGTTATATGGCTGCAACCAGTATAGACCACTTGTTATTCTTTGACTGTTTGGCCTTACATTATTGCCTTGAATTTAGGAATTGAGAAGATTTCTTAAGCAGACAGTTATTCCAAAGACAGTTATTGTTACATTTTAAAACTTTGTTCTGAGTTTTTGGGGGATAGATTTTCTTTTTAAAGATTTATTTATTTATTTGAAAGAGTTAGAGACAGGGAGACACAGAGAGATCTTCCATCTGCTGGTTTGCTCACCAACCTGCCACAACGTCCAGGGCTGAGCCAGGCCAGAGCCAGGCCAAAGCCAGGAGCTTAATCCAGGTTTAATCATGAGTGGCAGGGGACCAAGTTTTGGGACATCTTCCAGTGCTTTTTCCCGGCCATTAGCAGGGAGCTGAATTGGAAATGGAGCAGCCAGGCCACAAACTGGTGCCTGTGTGGGAAACTGGCATCGTAGGTAGCGGCTTTACCTGCTACAACACAGCACTGGCTCCGGATTGATTTTATGTGTGTAAAAATGTTATCTATCTCTGCTTTACATCAGTATACAAATACAATATCCTTTTGTTTTTAGGCCAGTGTTCTAGCTTCCAGTTCTACTGCAGCAGCTGCCACTCTTTCTCTGGCTAATTCAGATGTGTCTCTGCTAAACTACCAGTCAGCTTTGTACCCTTCGTCTGCAGCACCAGTTCCTGGAGTTGCCCAGCAGGGTGTTTCCTTGCAACCTGGAACCACCCAGATTTGCACTCAGACAGATCCATTCCAACAGACGTTTATCGTATGTCCACCTGCTTTCCAAAGTAAGTGGGGAAACTCTCACATCATGTGCTATTCTGTCAGTCCTACCTGTTTGGGCTGATCTACTTATTTAGTTCTGAAATTTCCCAAATTTTTAAATTCTGTCTCTAATGATAAAAATAACTAAAATTGAGTGATAACAGAGAGTGAATTTCCCTTTTTTATGTTGGTCATTTTTCTAATTGATTTACTACCTGACACATTATAGGAGCATGGTTTATGTTTCTTTTTATTTTTAAGATTTATTTGTTTGAAAGAGGAAGTGAGGAGAGACTTTCCATTTGTTGATTCATTCACCAAATGGTGGCAACAGCCTGGGCTGGTTCAGGCTAAAGCCAGAAGCCAGGAACTCTATCTGGGTCTCTCACATGGTTGGCAGGGACTCAGGTACTTGAGCTACCATTTGTTGCTTACCAGGCACATTAATAGGAAGCTGGATTAGAAGTGGTGCTCCAGTATGTGTAGCAGATTCCACAAGTGGTGTCTTAACCTCCTGTGCCACATTGCCTGTCCCTATGTTTCCTTATTTCAGTTTCCTAGGATCAGTGTTCTTGCTAAGTGAAGCTTGTATCTATATCTTACAGATGTATCTTATATAAGCATGTATCTTATACCTTATATCTTATACCTCTCCCTCTCCCTCTCTCTTAATATGCAGAATATGCATATTGAAAAGTATGTAGTAAGCCTAATTGTAACATATTGAATCTTTCTTCCATTATAACATAAAATGATGTTCTAAATAAAAGATAATTTTATTCTAAAATGTAAAAATCATGTTTAGAAATGAGGAAATCTCTTAATAGATTCATGAATAAAGATCATTATTTATTGAAATGAAAAATAATATTATATGAAGTACTTGTTTGGGGAAGGCATTAAGATTATGTGCTGTAGCTTATGAATCATATTGTTCCTGCAAATTCCTGTCAAAAAGGAAGAAAATAAATGAAGGAGGTTAACTCCATTGGTACAATAAGATTTTAATTTTCACATGTGTCCTTCATTTTATTATTATGGTTCTATAATATCCAGTTCCTTTTTTCTGAAATATGGGAAATATGTGTTTATGGATTTGATAAGCCATTTAAAGGTTGTATTAAGAATATTTTCTGATGACACACTTGACTTTTCTAGTAGAAAGCTTCTCTTAGCACTTTATAGATTTAGATAGCATTTTTATCTTTTTACTTCAGTTACCTATTGACTGTGACTCTTTTGTCTGTTTGGTTTCTGACAGAGTCGGAGCAAGCTGAAGGAAATGAGGGGCTAGGGGAGACTGAGAGATTACCGGGAGGACAGGAGAGCGATAGCCATGTAAACCAGGGAGGAACCACAGGGAGAGCGGAGGAGCAGATGCACAATCCGTAAATGCAAACTTAGCCTAACTTACCAAATTAATTTTTGCATATGACTCATAATAATAACTTCTATGATATATGTTGAATGATTCTTCTAGTCAATCACCATGCCTTTCCCACACCTTTTCCAAAATAAGTTTCATTGGTCCAGTTTTAGATTTGGCACCTTGAAGTTTTCTGCTTCTTCTCAAATGATGCTTAAGAGATGAAGCAGAACTTTTGTGTTCCCTTAACAAAACAAAATAAAATGTAAATTGAAGAGGTATAGGGAAAAGTGGAATAACCCCTTTTGGTATAATTAGGTAAGTAAATATAAGCTTTGGACAATTTTTTTCCTATCTAGAAGTCTAAATAATCTGAAGAGCTAATAGAGCAAATTTAAAATTTCCAAACAAAAGGAAGTTTGGAAATTAAGGTAATGATGATGATACCTGATATCTGTTTCTATATGGCAAATAATGTTCTGAGATCTTTTACATGTATTAATTCATCCTCACAAACAAGCTTAGGAGGTAGTTAATATCATTGCACTCAATTTATAAAAGAAAATTAGGCACTCTCCCCTCATTTGCTCTAAGTCTTTTATGGCAGAACCATGATTTGAACTCAGGCAGTAGAGTTCACCATGTAGGCATTTTGATGTATTATTCCATACTGCCTCTAAGAATTTACTCAGATAGCTGTAAAGAGTTGTTAGGTGATTGCCAGACAGTTGTTGATTTCTAAGCAACAGCCCTCTATTCCAGGTTACCCACTTTTCTTTTACCATCTGATCTTTTACAAGGTCCCTATATTTAGAGGAGGATGGACCATCATCAACTGGGCAGTTTTACTCTTTCCATTTATCTATAGTTCTTTAGTTAAAGGGCTGTGTTCCATAAAGCAAAAACCAAAGCTCTAATTCTTTTTAGGTCAGGGTTTAGGGAGGACCTTCTGAAAGTGTTGCTTTTTGCTAATTCTTTGTTTACATTTGTGGTGAAAATAAGTAGCTAGTTTTAAACTAGCTTGACTGCTATGGTTTAACCTAAATTACTGTAGCAGTCTAATACTTTAGAGTCACATTTGTGGGTCAGTACTATAAATACTACTTTCTGTACTCAACCAGTTGCCCAAAATAGATAGACATTTTGCTCAGTGGTAGTTCTGTCATTCTGTCCCCTTTTACTTCACCACTCTAGGAGCCACAGATGAGCTTCTGTTAGTGAACACTTCTTCCTACATATTGCCTCCTCAATTTCTACCAATTTGTAAAGGTTGTTACAGTAACAATTTCTTACTGTTAGCCATAAGTCCTGGGACTACTGATAAGAATTTTGTGTTGCTTAGCTTTCTTACTAGATAGCATTGCCTAAGTAAGCATGGCTGGCAACTTTTTCATTGTTTTATCTGGATTTGTTACATTTTATGTAAGTAAGTTTTTTTAAAAAAGGTATTGTTAAAGTGCTTTAATTCTGATTTTACTAGTTCTTTGTGTTTTGTATATTTCTAGGTTGTATTTTTCTTTATGACAAACTGTTAACAAATTGTTCATAAGTTCCTGAGCTGGAAAATTGGAAGACTAACTTGCTGAAAACAACAGCCTTATAGTTTGAGTCATGCTCTTTTGATACCTTTATTAGCAGTAGAAAGATAAATTAGTTGGTGATAGCTTAGAAAATGTAATTGAAGGAATTTTCTGAATAGAATGTTCATAGTATCACTTAACAAAATTGTAGGCATTAGTGGCTTAGAAACATGAATTCCCTGTTAAAAGTTTTGATAGGGTAGGTTTAGAGGAAAGCGAAGACTCTTAAGTCTTGACAGAAAGAGAGCTGCCTCGAGCCTCTCTCATTCCCAGAACAAGATAGTCCTATTTATCTGAAACGCTTATTACACATCTGTGCCAAGAGAATTAATACACAAAAAGATAAATAAGACATGGTCACTGTTTTAAAGACAGCAAAGAGTTCTTGCTTTTCTTAGCTGTTAAATACAAAAGAACCTTAACAGAAAGTTGTGAATGGCAAGAGCAGGTTCCTAAAATAAGTAAAAGAAAGTTTCTGTAAACCAAAATGTCTACTTTTAAAATATTTTTATCCCAGGTATAATTTCTTCAGTTCACTTAGTATTTAAAGATTAAAAATAGGACTAATTTGTGAACTGGGCTATATATTTTGATGAGTGAGGGCAAGCATTATTTGAAACAGATAACTTAGATTATAAATTATTGAGCTTTCCATATGGTTTTGTAACTAATAGCCAGTAGTTTTGTAACTATAACAAGTCTTTTCTTTTAGTAGGTTACAATTTTAAAAACACTTAAGCTTTTTTCCCCCTAGTGAATTAAAAAGAGAATGTAACTTACTAAGTAAAAGGGTTTTTTTTGCCTATACTTTTTTTTTTATTTTTTGACAGGCAGAGTGGACAGTGAGAGAGAGAGAGACAGAGAGAAAGGTCTTCCTTTGCCGTTGGTTCACCCTCCAATGGCCACCGCGGCTGGCGCGCTGCGGCCAGCACACTGCGCTGATCCGATGGCAGGAGCCAGGTACTTATCCTGGTCTCCCATGCGGGTGGAGGGCCCAAGTACTTGGGCCATCCTCCACTGCACTTCCCGGGCCACAGCAGAGAGCTGGCCTGGAAGAGGGGCAACTGGGACTAGAACCCGGTGTGCCAGCGCCTCAAGGCGGAGGATTAGCCTAGTGAGCTGCGGCGCCGGCCTGGCCTATACTTTTAATTAATATTGTGTTTTAAGTTTTATAGCATTAAAAACAACAACAATTAGTATCTCCTTGAACGAGGGCTCCTTGTATCAAACATCTTTCCATTAATTTAACATGAAGGGAACTGCGTTTCCCGTTTTTTAACTCTTAAGACTTATATGAATAAAACTCCTTTGTCTCAAGTATCTTCTAATGTCTAGAACTGAAAGCTGAGTAGTGATTATTTGAACAGAATAGCTAAAAACAACCCATCGAACCCCCAAAATAAACTGTGCTTCCAGACCTAGCAAAGCACTTTACCTGTAATGCCGTTTTCAACAGCTGGACTGCAAGCAACAACAAAGCATTCTGGATTCCCTGTGAGGATGGATAATGCCGTGCCAATTGTACCCCAGGCCCCAGCTGCTCAGCCACTACAGATTCAGTCAGGAGTTCTTACACAGGTAAAAGCCAGAGCAATGTGGATTATCAATACTGCTGAAGCACTAATGATAATTAGATATTTTACCTTAGAAAATTGTATTTACTTTGACTGTAAGATCTTTCTTGGTCACGATTCAGGGGTCTTAAAATGAAACATCTATATGGAGTAATATGCTCATTCCTAACACTATCCCAGCTCTGCTAGTGTCTTCATTAGACTTGCAGGGATAGGTATGCAGACATTGAGAAGTGGTCATTTGCGTAAGTTTACTCTGATTTTCTGAGATGAGTTTTTTTTTCATCTTCTTTTTAACTTTGCAACTTGTAAACATACAGAATATGTTCAACATTTTTACTATAAATACAAAGTTTCACTTTTGCTTCCTTTTACTCTTTTAGAAATTCACCAGACTGGATCATGTCAAGGTGCTTCTTACTATAGTTTTTATTCCTGGTGTTTAGGCTATAGAGAGCTTTAAAACTGTATGCTTGCCATGGAGCATACAACTAAGATGACCTAAAACATGTTATAGCAACAAATACCGTGTTTTAAATTCTATACATTAATATTTGTGGCCTATAACACAGGAAATTTTGAAATCCAAAACCCCTCTTTTGTGAGTGCAGGAAGAATTCTTAATAAATGCCTTTGTTTCATAAAACAGATCCTCTGAATCAGACCCAAGAAGGATTCCTGTATTTTTTTTTTTTTTTTTGCTTTAGGCCATTGACAATTGATCACCTAGTGGGCCAATGCTGTGCAGAGTTGAAGGGGGAAAGTTGTGTTTGGTTCATGCATTTTAGGTCGTATGAAATTACTGTTTATTGTTGGTAATAACTTGGGGGGAATGAGAACCCTTCTGAATCCAGATAGCCTGCCTTCGTGCTTGTTTCACTCACCTGCCTAATCTACGTTTCAGGGAAGCTGTACACCACTAATGGTAGCAACTCTCCACCCTCAAGTAGCCACCATCACACCGCAGTATGCGGTGCCCTTTACTCTGAGCTGCGCAGCCGGCCGGCCGGCGCTGGTTGAACAGACTGCCGCTGTACTGGTAATTCCCCTCACTTGATTGTGTTACTAACGGAGTTTCTTTAGTTTCTTTCTTTTTTATTTTTTTCCTGTTTGTTTTTGTTCTGTTTTCTTCTGGTTTTTTCATTTTTACAAAAAAAATTTTTTTAGCTTAGTCTTTGCAGAGGGCATGGAAGCATGTGCCATCTTGTGGCTGTGTTCTTGCTATATCTTTAATGTCTCATTGTTTTCTTCCCCGACACTTGCTGTAGCACTCGCTGTTTCACTCTAATGTTCAGTGTTGCTCTGTAAGGAGCCAGATCCCTTGATTCAAGTTCTTTGTGTAGCCTCAGAAGTGCTTCCAACACTGTTACCTGTTTTCTGCCCTTTTACCCTCCAATCCTTGAGAATGAAGGAAATGGCCTTTAGTTTGGCTCTGCTACAGGTACCTGGATGGCCAAAATTGAATTCCTTGGCAAGTTAGCTTTTTCTTATTTATTTATTTTGCTGTTTTAAGCTTATAAAACTTGTGCACAATTTAGGAATGCTTAAGATACTCTTAATTTATTGCTGTATCAGTTAATATTAACCTTCCTTCTGTGAGCACTTGACGATAGCTCTTTTTGCTACACATGATCAGTGGCAGGTTACATCTTCATTTAAAAATATTCCTTTCAGAATGTGTTTATAGAACATATTGGTTGAAATTAAAGGTGAACTTATTTTTAGGAATTTTTTGGAGAAATTTATTATTTTACAAATCTTTATCAAGGGTGAAAATTTGGCTGATAAGCTATACAGTATCTTTGTTATTAAAAGTCATGGGGAAAATTATTGAATGTAACTGTAAATGTAGTATTATGCTTAGAGATAAGAAAAACAAACTGGATATCAAGGTTTATTTTAGGGTTTTTGACTTTAAGAATGACCTTTGGATGTTTTTGGACTTATTTGGGAGAGTCAGAATTATTTTTTAGATATCCAGTATTTCATAATTTGAAATTTAAAGTTAAGTAACCATTTAAAAATCCAATTGATAAGCATTGAATCCTGATTTTTCTCATCTTTCAAAGTAACTTTAAGTTCCTTTTGTTGTTTCCCAAGTATTCATGTGAGTAAAACACTTCCAGAAACATACTTTGATTAGAATTTGTTCTGTTTTCAGTTTAAAAGTCTGTTACCTCCAGATTAATTTTCTCATAAGCATAAAATCTGAGTGCAAGGGAGTCAGATGTATTTCCATATTGAGTGATCCTAGCCACTGGTTTTAACTTGCTCAACTATGGTTTGGAGATTGGGAATGTTAGTTGATGCTTCTCCTTTCTGCTTCTTGTATGTTTGCACTAGTCATTTGCTAAGCTTTGCATATTTTTGTTCTCTTCCTCTGTCAAAACAGTTCGTCGCTTGGAACGCCAGATTTCTGCCTCACGTTGGAATGTTATTTCTTGCTCTGTATTAAACTACATGCTTTGTCTTGTGCAGGTGTTGGCTTATGGAAAGACGCATGGTGTGACTTAACATACTTCTCTTATGTTTTGTTTTGTTTGTTTTAAATTCTGCTTATGGTAGCAGACATGTTTGCAGTTTCTCTGCTTTGAAGGCTTCTTGTTGGGAACCAGTATTTGTAACAAGTGGATCTGTTAACTTGCAAAAATATTTTAAAAGCAGTGTGTGTTGATGGCCTTAAGTTTGAAATTCATGAAACAGAACCATATGTACCCAAGCATTGTAGGTAATTGTACTGCAGAATTCAAGTTTAAAAAGGAGACTTCCAAATCTGTTCCTTTTTTTTTTTTTCAGAAAATGTCAGAATTTCTGCAAGTACAGAAAACATAGTTGATATTCAGTCTGTTGCAAGTGACATGGCTTGTGAAAAACTAGAAATAATATATTTTATAGTGATTATTAGTTTTTAAATGTTTCTTCAAATGCTAAGTAAAACATATTTTAGTCAGCTGTCACAAATAAAATATGATGCTTTCTGCATCATAAGTATTTCACTTAGTTCCTTAACTTTTAATTCTATTATAAGGCTATAAATGATGAAGTTTGCTTGTTCTTATTTAGCAAAGAATTTGGCCTTTGGTCACCCACAACTGGCTCCATTTTCTGAATACCACCCTTTTAAATAAGGGAAAAATTCTGCCCTTTGATGTGAGATCTTATCTGATTGGCATTCAGATTTTCAAGTTCCTGATTTTAGTCATAAGGGAGTTCTCTTAAATCTCTCTAGGGATATATTTTGCAATTTTTGAAAAAATTATACTCCAGCATTTAACCAGAACTTACTTCTGAACTCTCAGACTGCTCTTTTCTACAGTACAATAGAAACTTCGTCACAAGGATCTCTCCTTTAGTACTCTGGTGGTCAGGTTGTGGAGGTGGCCAGGAGATTGCAGTATGTTCTTTCCCCTTTCCTAAGTCTTGTTAGCCTTGAGCCCCTCTGACCTTTCTTTTTTAATCTCTGCAAGTTAACAATCTACAAGTAACTTTTTTTAAGATAAGAATTTTTCTTTCAAAAACAGAGGAAAAATCCAAGAATGAGTCAAGTCTGGATCTTTTTGTATGTGTTTCCTTACAGCAGGCTTGGCCTGGAGGAACTCAACAAATTCTCCTGCCTTCAACGTGGCAACAGTTGCCTGGGGTAGCTCTACACAACTCTGTCCAACCCACAGCAGTGATTCCAGAGGCCTTGGGGAGTGGCCAGCAGCTGGCAGACTGGAGGCAAGTGTCCTATGTTCTTCTATGCGGGATATGCAAGGGCAGATTCTTCGGGAGTAGGGACACTTGATATGTGAGAGACTAGGAAGAAAATAAAAAGAAACTTCATCTCTGCTTGAAATTCTTTAAGAAAAGAACTCATATTATATTAGAAGATGAAGTTATAAGAGAACTTAGAATATAAGAAAATAGTGGGTTCTAAAGTTAGAAGTCATTTCTTTCTGACTTAAAGACAGACTTAAATGATGGGAAATCACACAGTGAGATTCTAAACCTTTGTATGCAGTTCAGGTGCCCACCTTTTAAAAAGATAGCTATTTTTGTGAATCTTGATGTGAATGGAATGGGAGAGGGAGCGGGAGATGGGAGGGATGTGAGTGGGAGGGAAATTATGGGGTGGGAAGCCATTGTAATCCATTAACTGTACTTTGAAAATTTATATTTACTAAATAAAAAATAAATTAAAAAAAAAAGGAAAAAAAAAAGAGCCATTTTTGGTTGATTTAATACCTGTTTGGTCCAGATTTCCCAGTGGTTTCAGGATTCACTCCTCTGTTTCATTCTTTTGGTACAGGAATGCCCACTCTCATGGCAACCAGTATAGCACCATCATGCAGCAGCCATCCTTGCTGACTAACCATGTGACACTGGCCACTGCTCAGCCCCTAAATGTTGGTGTTGCCCATGTTGTCAGACAGCAGCAGTCTAGTTCTCTCCCTTCAAAGAAGAATAAGCAGACTGCTCCAGTCTCTTCCAAGTAAGTCTGTGGTAGAGCTGACGTGTACAGTGGTTTGAGACGTAAGTTTGTCCAGCATCAGGAGCGTTATGGCATAGATGCTTTTGATAGGAAGCAGCAAGTACTTGCTAAATTGATGAAGAGCTAACCTTTTCACCTGGGCCTGCATACCAGGTGTGTCCTAGTTGTGGTAATACTTTGTGTCTGTCACTTTGAATCCAGGCTTGCTTTATGGTGTTTTTATTTTTTTGTCCACTTTACAGAGTGAAATAAACTTTCTTTTGTATTTTGGTGTTCTTGTCCCTGAAACTCTGGCCAGAGTGGTTATTTTTCTTTTTTAATGGAACTTTTCTAATTCTGTGTATTAGCTTAATAATTAGGTAAAAAGGAATCAAAGAGCACATTAGAATGCAATCTAGGGAAAAGATGTACAGTTTAAGCTGCCAAAGACTGAAGTTTTTCCTTATGAACTTTCCTACAGATCCTCTCTGGAAGTCCTGCCTTCCCAAGTCTATTCTCTGGTTGGGAGCAGTCCTCTCCGCACCACTTCTTCTTATAATTCCCTAGTCCCTGTCCAAGATCAGCATCAGCCAATCATCATTCCAGATACTCCCAGCCCTCCTGTGAGTGTCATCACCATCCGAAGTGACACTGATGAGGAAGAGGACAACAAATACAAGCCCAATAGGTAAGACAGGTGAATGGTTCCCTTTGCTGTGTTTGGTTTTAGACCGTTGGCTTCAGGTAAGTGATCTAGAATTGGCTGTAAAAGAAAGGGCTTAAAAAAAAAAAAGTATTTTGGAAGCATGCCCTGGATAAGTCAACCCAAACACTTAAGTTTCCATAACCAGGCATTGTCAAGTTTTGTATAATATTAAGATATTGGTTAGATAAATCAGCCTTTCAGACACATTAGCAGATTTCTATTAAGTTGACAGACTGCTCTGGCTTGGAATACACATTATACTACAAACACAATATCTTCCTTCAAGGAACTTTATAGTCTGAAAATAGATAGCCTAATATGAATGAATAGGTAGATAAGAGATTTTTTGGAACTTATGCAGTGTGTTAATCTGAAAAGTTCTCTTTGGAAGAGGTAGAACTTAAAAATAGAGGCTTCCTTTCCCTCCTCTGCTATATGGTCTGAAAGCTAAGGAATATAAATATCATGCTATTTCCCCTTTAGCCACTTCCTGTTTATTAACTGCTCTATTAAGAGCTTGGGCTAAGGTGCTAGGCAGTTAACTAAGAGGAAGTGGCTTACACACCTCTGTCTTGGTGTGAACATAGTCAGTTGCCTTGATTATTCTGGGTTGTATTCTTTAGGATTTTGGTGTTAGCATTTAGAAGATGGAATAACCCTTTTATATGAGGAGGTAGAATCCACACATGAAAGTGACCTAAGCGACTTCACAGAGTCATGCAAGTGAAATTTAAACAAACTTGAAAGAGTAAAGTTAGAATTTAGAATTAAATTAGAGCCTTTCAGTTCAAAAAGGTTATCTGTAAGATAAATGATGTGAAGCTGGGGTGTTGTTTTTTCTTTTTTCTTTTTAAAGATTTACTTATTTGTTTGAAAGGCAGAGTTAAAGAGGGACAGAGGCAGAAAGAGAGGTCTTACATCTGCTGGTTCATTCCTTGGATGGCTGCAACAGCCGGAGTTGCGCCAATCTGAAGCCAGGAGCTTCTTCTGGGTCTCCCACGTGGGTGCAGGGCCCCATGTACGTGGGCCATCTTCTACTGCTTTCCCAGGCCATAGCAGAGAGCTGGATTGGAAGTAGAGCAGCCTGGACCTGAACTGGCGCCCATATGGGATGACGGTACTGCAGGTGACAGCTTTACCTGCTGTGCCACAGTGCCAGCCCCGAAACTAAGTTGTTTTTTTTTTTTTTTTTTTTGACAGGCAGAGTGGACAGTGAGAGAGAGAGACAGAGAGAAAGGTCTTCCTTTTTTTTGCCGTTGGTTCACCCTCCAATGGCCGAGGCCGGCGTACCGCGCTGATCCGATGGCAGGAGCCAGGAGCCAGGTGCTTTTCCTGGTCTTCCATGGGGTGCAGGGCCCAAGCACCTGGGCCATCCTCCACTGCACTCCCTGGCCACAGCAGAGAGCTGGCCTAGAAGAGGGGCAACCGGGACAGAATCCGGCGCCCCGACCGGGACTAGAACCCGGTGTGCCGGTGCCGCTAGGCGGAGGATTAGCCTAGTGAGCTGCAGCGCCGGCCCGAAACTAAGTTTTGAAAGTGGTCATGGAACTGATTTGGGGAGGAGAAAAAGTAAACATTCACATAAGGAAAAGTAACCTAATAATAGCCAAAAGGATGTATGAGGTGAAACCAGCATGATTGCTTTGAATGGACCAAAGCCTTTTCAAAAGTAAAGAAAAGCTAGAGTTAGTAAGGTGGAAATCAGATCAGTTAGTGTAGGACATGTTTTTCCCCCAAAATGTATTGGGGCTAGCATTGTAGTGAGCTGCTGTTTGCAAAGCTGGCAAGCCATATCATGAAACACCTGTTGTGGGTCCTGGCTGTTCCACTTCTTTTTTTTATTGTTCCACTTCTGATTCAGCTGCATGCCAGTGTACCCGAGAAAGCAACACAACATGGCCCAAATACTTAGATATCTGCCATTCATATGGGAGACCTGCATGGAGTTCTGGACTCCTGCTTTTGGCCTGGCCCAGCTCCAGCTGTTGTGGTCATTTGGGGAGAGAACTAACAGATGGAAGATCTCTCTTGATTGCTCCGTCCATTTTGCCTTTCAAATAAATAAAATAAATGTTAATTTTTTTTTAAAGTATGGTGCGAATTTTTTAGATACTGTAAGAAAATATTTGTAACTCAAGGAGGTGATATGAAAAAGTAGTTTAAGAAGAATAATGAAGTGGCTGAATAGGGACGACTAAGAGGCAACATGGAATAGATGTTAGAAACATGGACTCTGGAGTCTCTCTGTCCTGTGTCTGAATCCTGCTTTTACCACTTAACACTTACGTGCCTTTGAACTGTGAAATGAGGATATTAGTACCTACTTCATAGGATTGATGTAAGGGTTCAGCAGGGTGTACATTGAGCTTGAGTAGTCCTTGATACATAATCTCTCAGAAGCTTGCTGCTGTTATTATTAGCATTATTACCATCATCATCATTATTATTATGAGATGGCCGGAGTCCATTTAGACACTTAAACATTTCGAATGCTTAAAAGGGTGGCTGAGCTTGACTGTATTTTCTTTTCAGCTCTGGCCTGAAGCCAAGGTCTAATGTCATCAGTTATGTTACTGTCAATGATTCTCCAGACTCCGACTCTTCCTTGAGCAGCCCATATTCCACTGACACCTTGAGTGCTCTCCGGGGCAACAGTGGATCTCTTCTGGAGGGGCCAGGCAAAGTTGTGGCAGATGGCACAGGCACCCGCACCATAATTGTGCCTCCGCTGAAAACTCAGCTTGGTGACTGCACAGTAGCAACCCAAGCCTCAGGTAAGTGTATCTATACAGCTACAGTTTTATTCTCCATTGATGTGTATAATATTTTACTATGATCTACTTATGCCAGTGATAGAGACCACTGGCATGGGTAACTTTTTTTTTTTTTTTTTTTTTAAGATTTACTTATTTGACAGGTAAAGTTATGGGGGGGCGGGGAGGGGGTAGAAACAGAGAGAGAGAAAGAGAAAGATCTTCCATCTGCTGTTTCACTCCCCAAATGGCCATAAGGGCCAGGACTGGGCCAGGCCAAAGCCAGGAGTCAGGAGCTCTCTCCAGGTCTTTCATGTGGGCCATTCCCCACTGCTTACCCAGGTGCATCAGCAGGGACCTGGATCAGAAGTAGAACAGCCGGGACTCGCCCATATGGGATGCTGGCACTGTAGGCAGCAGCTTAACTCGTTATACCACAACACCAGCTCCCATAGATAACTCTTAAAAAATTCAGGTATCAGTTCCCTGTATTGTGAAGTTCTTTTTGGCCATGATTTTACACACAACATTTTGGATTAATATGAAAATGAGGTTGTAGTCTTAAAACCACATTCACTGCTGATAGGAGAAAGTGGACAAGTTGAATGGCAGGGAGAATTAGCAGGTGGTTAGATTTGGACAGATGATTCTGGTTTGGCAATCTAGAAGAGAACAGGACTTGATAACTTTGGAAATGACTGCAAAAGTGTTTTGGAAGCCGGTGCTGTGGCTCACTAGGCTAATCCTCCACCTGCGGCGCCGGCACCCCAGGTTCTAGTCCCAGTCGTGGTGCCGGATTCTGTCCCAGTTGCCCCTCTTCCAGTCCAGCTCTCTGCTGTGGCCAGGGAGTGCAGTGGAGGATGGCCCAAGTGCTTGGGCCCTGCACCCGCATGGGAGACCAGGAGAAGCACCTGGCTCCTGCCTTCAGATCAGCGTGGTGCACCGGATGCAGCGGCCATTGGGGGGTGAACCAACAGAAAAGGAAGACCTTTCTCTCTGTCTCTGTCTTTCTCTCACTGTCCACTCTGCCTGTCAAAAAATAAAAATAAATTAAAAAAAAAAAGTGTTTTGGAAAACAGTATGTTTTAGATTTTTTTTCCAACCAATGTCATAGCAGTGATGCTGTTACTGTTTTTTATTTTCAGCCTAATTGCCTCCATCTTTTTTTGCTCTTAAATATTGGGCTTATATTCTCCCTGGTTCATTTGTTGTATTAGTTGGATAATACTAGCTGTAGGGGCTGGTGCCACAGCTCAGTAGGCTAATCCTCCGCCTTGCGGCGCCGGCACACTGGGTTCTAGTCCCGGTCGGGGTGCCGGATTCTGTCCCGGTTGCCCCTCTTCCAGCCCAGCTCTCTGCTGTGGCCATGGAGTGCAGTGGAAGATGGCCCAAGTGCTTGGGCCCTGCACCCGCATAGGAGACCAGGAGAAGCACCTGGCTCCTGCCTTCGGATCGGCATAGCACGCCGGCCGTAGCAGCCATTTGGAGGGTGAACCAACGGCAAAATGAAGACCCTTCTCTCTGTCTCTCTCTCTCTCACTGTCCACTCTGCCTGTCCAAAAAAAAAAAAAAAAAAAAAAAAAATATTAGCTGTAGTAACAAATCCAAATTTCCACACCTTAGCAGGGGTAGGGAACCTTTTTTCTGCTAAGAGCCATTTGGATTTTTCTTTCTTTCTTTTTTTTTTTTTTTGACAGGCAGAGTTAGAGAGAGAGAGAGACAGAGAGAAAGGTCTTCCTTCCATTGGTTCAACCCCCAGATGGCTGCTACGGCTGGCGTTCTGCGCCGATCCAAAACGAGGAGCCAGGTGCTTCCTCCTAGTCTCCCATGTGGGTGCAGGGCCCAAGCACTTGGGCCATCCTCCACTGCCTTCCCGGGCCACAGCAGAGAGCTGGACTAGAAGAGGAGCAACCGGGACAGAATCTGGTGCCCCCACTGGGATTAGAATCCCAGAGTGCCGGTGCCGCAGGCTGAGGATTAACCTAGTGAGCCACGGCGCCGGCCTGGATTTTTCTAACATCACTCATGGACCATACAAAGTGATCAACTTAAAGATTAGCCTGCTACAGATTTATTGAATTTCAAGTCCTGCTGCAGTTTCCTTGGCAAGGCCAGACTGAATGATTTTATGGGCCAGACATTCCCCACTCTTGGCTTAAGGTGATAGAAGTTCACTTCTCCCTCATAAAACTTCCCATACAAGTTAACCAGTGTGCAATGAGTTAAGGGCCAGAGCCTTGGAACCTCCAGATCCAATGAGGAGGAAAGTAGTTTGGAGGAGGCACGTGTGCTTCTTAGCCTTTTTAGCTAAGGAAATAGTGAACAGTACTCACATGCATGGGGCCCAGGAAATGTAGTTTTGTTGAGACAGCTGCTTCTCAGCATCAACTTTATACCAAGGAAGGGGAGTGTGAGTTTTTGGTGACAGTGTAGCCATTTGTGCTGTACTTGCATTTGGATTATATTATTGTCATGGGAGTAAGCTGGGTTCTAATTTGAGGGTATTGTGTTAAGCTTCTTGGTGATTGTCCTCAGAGATGTTCCATTGCAGCCAACATAGAGCTTCCTGATGCCAGGTTGTTGAATAGAATAAAATTATTAGAACCTCTCTCAACTCTTTTTTTTTTTTTTTAATATTTTACTTATTTATTTGAGAGAGAGTTACAGATAGAGAGAGAGAGAGACAGAGAGAAAGGTCATCCTTCTGTTGGTTCACTCCCCAGATGGCCACAATGGCCAGAGCTGCACCGATCCAAAGCCACGAGCCAGGTGCTTCTTTCCAGTCTCTCATGTGGGTACAGGGGCCCAAACACTTGGGCCATCTTCTTTTTTTTTTTTTTTTTTGACAGGCAGAGTGGACAGTGAGAGAGAGAGACAGAGAGAAAGGTCTTCCTTTTGCCGTTGGTTCACCCCCTAATGGCCACCACGGCTGGCGCGCTGCGGCCAGCGCACCGCGCTGATCCGATGGCAGGAGCCAGGTGCTTCTCCTCGTCTCCCATGTGGGTGCAGGGCCCAAGGACTTGGGCCATCTTCCACTGCACTCCCGGGCCATAGCAGAGAGCTGGGCTGGAAGAGGGTCAACCAGGACAGAATCTGACGCCCCGACCGGGACTAGAACCCAGTGTGCTGGCGCTGCAGGTGGAGGATCAGCCTATTAAGCCGCGGCGCTGGCTTGGGCCATCTTCAACTGTTTTCCCAGGCCATAGCAGAGAGCTGGATTGGAAGAGGGGCAGCTGGGACTAAAACCGGTGCCCATATGGGATGCCAGCGCTGCAGGTGGAGAATTAACCTACTGTGCCACAGAGTCGGCCCCTCAACTCTGTTTTTTGGACAGGCAGAGTTAGTGAGAAAGAGAGACAGAGAGAAAGGTCTTCCTTCCGTTGGTTCACCCCCCAAATGGCCAGCACAGCTGGCGCACTGTGCCGATCTGAAGCCAGGAGCCAGGTGCTTCCTCCTGGTCTCCCATGTGGGTGCAGGGCCCAAGCACTTGGGCCATCCTTCACTGCACTCCCGGGCCACAGCAGAGAGCTGGCCTGGAAGAGGAGCAACCGGGACAGAATCCGGCACCCCAATCGAAACTAGAACCCGGGGTGCCAGCGCCACAGGCGGAGGATTAGCCAAGTGAGCCGTGGCGCCAGCCAGCTCTTTTTTTGAGATTTATTTTATTTATTTGAAAGGCAGAGTTACAGAGATAGGGAGAGAGGGATCTTCCATGCACTGGCTCACTCCCCAAATGGCCACAACAACCACAGTTGGGCCAGGCTGAAGCCAGGAACCAGCAGCTGCTTCTGAGTCTCCCATGTGAGTGCAGAGGCCCAAGCACTTGGGCCGTCTACGTGGCTTTCCCAGGCACATTAGCAGGGAGCTGGATCAGAGGTAGAGCAGCCGGGACTCAAACCAAGGTCCTTATTGGATGCCAGCATTACCAGTGGCAGCTTAACCTGCTAAGCCACTATGCCAGCCCTCTCTCAACTAAGTCCAAATTGTATAGGCTATCCCACAAGTCATTGGGTAAATGCTCCAGTTTTTCTACCAGAAATGCAGAAGGAAACAAGATTTTGTATTCAGTTGTGCTCTCATTTCTTAGAATTTGAAGGTAGTAAATAAATACCCAACAAGATAGACTCTTGGCTTCCTTTAAACCTTGCTGACACTTAAATATCCTGAGAATTACCAGTCTCTCTCTCAGCTTCACATTGCTGTTTCTGCACTTGTTTAATTCCATTCTGCATGAAGCTGTAGGCTCCTTTGGGTTAGGGATTGTGTCTTCCTTATGTTTGTATTTCTAGTAGTTCCTTGTGTATAATAGGAAATTAGATAATATTTAGTTAATTAAGCCCTTTGGAGGTTTGTGGCAAGACAAAAGAAATGGGTAATGTAGTTGCCGTTCTTCCAATGTGAATGTGACCATGGAAGTAAAGTGCACACAAGACCTTAATCTTGAAAACAACATACAAACGTGGACTGAGTAACGTGATGCCGGGTGAGGTTGGCTGAGTGCTGCTGAGCAAATGCCTACTCAAAACTGAGCCCTGACCCCTTTTTAGGTCTCCTGAGCAGTAAGACCAAGCGTGTGGCCTCAGTGAGTGGGCAGTCATCTGGATGCTGTATTACCCCTACAGGGTACCGAGCTCAACGTGGGGGTACTGGCGCAGCCCAGCCACTCAACCTTAGCCAGGTAAGCGCTAGGGGCTGCTGCCTTCTGTTTGGGGCCCTCTCTGTTGTTAGTCTCTGGAGAACCCTGCTTCGGGCTGGACTGCCGAATAAAGCCAGATGAAGCCCCTTCTGTGTCAGTTTGGTGTTTTGTGCCTGATGTCGTATCTGCATGTGCTAAATCTCTTCATGTGCTGTGTAAGTGTGTTTGGGTATACATTCCAGGTTTTTCTTTAGACCTCCCTCATCTGTACTGGAAGATTAGAGAAATGCAGGAATTTAGAAAGAGCCGAGGCTGCTTTTAGACATGCCTGGTTTTGCACCATCACATGCTTTGAGACCAGATTCTCTTCCTTTATCTCCCCGGCCATAAATAACCTGGGCCTCACACTGCTTACTGAATGAAGAGATAGCAAAAGCTTTCTGGGCACTTAATTTGATCAACTGCTTCTATCCTACCTGTTTCTAGAGCCTGGGATCTGTCTTCCCTCCTTCCTTAGCCATGTGATCCTCTGATGAGGTGGTGAGGGTCACTTTATTTATGTTCACTCTAAAATTCTAGTTCATGTATGATGACTACCATTAGTGAGAGTGTGTCAATAGAGAGAGTAACTCTGTGTGTATGTGTGAGAGAGAGAGAATACATGCAATTGCAAATGTAAGTTTGAGTTAGTGCATATGTTTTAGGCTCCACATTTCAAGCGAGATATGAAGAACTTAGAGGAGAACAAAAGAAAACAATGGCAAGAAAGAAAGGTTAGGAAAAATTCAAATTCCCTGATGCCAGAATAGGGTGAGTTAACAGTTACTAACTTGTAGGAGTGGTCAACCCTGTCATCTCTCAATTCTCCGCCTTCCTCTGTATACTTAGAAGCAAACTACTGCTTTCTGATCTGGTTTAGGATCTGTTTTGCCAAGAAGCAGAGGAATGGGTGGCCAGCAGCATTCATTGTCAGTGTGGGAGACTCTGGGCCATGGCAGTCCAGAAACAAGCACAGTTCAGAACCTTGACTCTTAACTTGGTTTTTGGTGCCCTGAACCAGAGTGTTCTCAAGATTCCTCACTCCCTTCTTCCTCCTTCCAGAACCAGCAGTCATCTTCAGCTCCAACCTCTCAGGAGAGAAGCAGCAACCCTGCCCCCCGCAGGCAGCAGGCGTTTGTGGCCCCGCTCTCCCAAGCCCCCTACGCCTTTCAGCATGGCAGTCCACTACACTCGACGGGGCACCCACACCTGGCCCCAGCCCCTGCTCACCTGCCAAGCCAGCCTCACCTGTACACGTATGCTGCCCCCACCTCTGCTGCTGCATTGGGCTCCACCAGCTCCATTGCTCATCTGTTCTCTCCCCAGGGTTCCTCAAGGCATGCTGCAGCCTATACCACCCACCCAAGCACTCTTGTGCACCAAGTCCCTGTCAGTGTTGGTCCCAGCCTCCTCACTTCTGCCAGTGTGGCCCCTGCACAGTACCAACACCAGTTTGCTACCCAGTCCTATATTGGGTCCTCTCGAGGCTCAACAATTTACACTGGATACCCGCTGAGTCCTACCAAGATCAGCCAGTATTCATACTTGTAGTTGGTGAGCATGAGGGAGGAGAGATCATGGCTGCCTGCTCCTGGCCCTGAGTTGTTAATAATGGGCTGTGGTGAACTCCTCCTTTACTCTCTCCTGAAATTCCTTAGCCAGCAACTTGTTCTGCAGGGGCCCACTGAAGCAGAAGGTTTTTCTCTGGGGAACCTGTCTCAGTGTTGACTGCATTGTTGTAGTCTCCCAAAGTTTGCCCTATTTTTTAATTCTTTATTTTTGTGACAGCATTTTTGGTATTGGAAGAGTTCAGATGCCCATCTTCTGCAGTTACCAAGGAAGAGAGATCATTGTGAAGTTAACTCTTTGAAAAATATTGTCTCTCTGACTTGATTTATAAGTGCTTTTAAAAACAAGTGAAGCCCCTCTTTATTTAAGTTTGTTTTATTGTGTCAGAGGAAAAATGCTGATAGAAGGATTGGAAGTCTGATAACAAGTCAGAAAAGTCTTTTTGTTTATTTAAAAACCAAACTTATTTGCCTTTTTTAGTTTGAAAGCAGCTTATACAAGACTGTTCTTTACTATCAGGCATTTCTCCTCAAAATTTTATCTTTGTTTATGAAACATTTAAACTTAACAGTGTTTTAGTTTGTTTTCATGTTGCATCATACTTAATGAGCAGTTTTGCAAAACTGGGTATATGTATGACTCTGTGTTACTATTAATATTCTCTCAGTTGCTCCTGTTTTTATGAAAGTGGTGTTAAAAAGGCAGCTTACCACTTACTGGTAACTTAGTGTGTGAGAGAATCCATACCTACCATGAAAGCACCAAGTGTTCTTTTGAAATGAAGCACCATGAATTCTTTCTTAAATTATTTTTTAAAAATCTTTCTCTGATTCAGCTTAAATTTTATGGGATAAGCCATTAAGGTGGTTAATATTGTATGGTGGTGGTTGTTTTATTATATGCAAAATATCTTTCTATTATGAAATAGTGGCATTGATGAGCTTTGCCTAAAGGTTGTGGTATTGATGAGCTTTGCCTAAAGTTAGTATAAATTTTCAATAATACACCTATGTGTTTTCCTCGTCTCCCTTCCTGTTTTTATGTGGTTTATTTGGGGAGAAAGCTAAAGAATCTGAAACCAGATAAGAACGTCATTGTGTATAGCTTTTATACTTTTAAGTAGCTTCCTTTGTATGCCAGCAGCAAATTGAATGCTCTCTTATTAAGACTTATATAATAAGTGCATGTAGGAATTGCAAAAAATATTTTAAAAATTTATTACTGAATTTAAAAATATTTTAGAAGTTTTGTAATGGTGGTGTTTTAATATTTTGCATAATTAAATATGTACATATTGATTAGAAAAATATAACAAGCAATTTTTCCTGCTAACCCAAAATGTTGTTTGTAATCAAATGTGTAGTGATTACACTTGAATTGTGTATTTAGTGTGTATCTGATCCTCCAGTGTTACCCCGGAGATAGAATTGATGTCTCCATTGTATTTAAACCAAAATGAACTGATACTTGTTGGAATGTATGTGAACTAATTGCAATTATATTAGAGCATATTACTGTAGTGCTGAGTGAGCAGGGGCATTGCCTGCAAGGAGAGGAAACCCTTGGAATTGTTTTGCACAGGTGTGTCTGGTGAGGAGTTGTTCAGTGTGTGTCTCTTCCGCCCCTTCTTCCTCCCCTTATTGTAGTGCCTTATATGATAATGTAGTGGTTAATAGAGTTTACAGTGAGCTTGCCTTAGGATGGACCAGCAAGCCCCCCGTGGACCCTATGCAGTTCACTGGGATTTATCAGAACAGGATTAGTAGCTGTGTTGTGTAAATGCATTGTTCTCAGTTTCCCTGCTGACTTGGAAAAATAAAAACAGCAGCTTTTCTTCTTTGCTGCCACCTCTACCCTTTTCCATTTTGGGTTCTGAGCTGAGTTCTCACAGGAGCATTTTCCCAGCGTGGCGCTCACTGTGTGTTGCTACATGCTTCTGTGAGAATTCGGGAAGCAGGTGAGAGGAGTCAAGCCGATGTTAAATATGCATTTTTTTAAAAAGTATGTGCAATCACTTTTAGAATGCGATTTTTTTTTCTTTTCCCATGTGGCTGTTCTTCCTACAAATAGTTGACATTGCTAGTAAAATATTTGCTTGTTAAAAAAATCATATAGCAGATGTGTTTATACCAAAGAGCCTGTTGTATTGCTTACCATGGCCCCCCATACTATGAGGAAGAGTTTGTGGTACCGCTGGTGACAAGGAACTCACAGCAAGGTTTACTAACCAGTGAAGGATACTAAGAAGGAACCAAAGCCTGTGGAATCAATGGGGCTTTTGAAGTTTCTTTCTTACAACTTGTATATTCTTGGGGCCCTTCAAGCTGTGAAATTGTCCTTGTACTCTCAGTTCCTACATGGATCAGGGTCAAGTAGAAGGTACTGGGGCTGGGTACATTCCTGCCTATAAAGGATACAGAGAAGAAGGTTAACCCTAAGATATAGATGTGTTCCATCTGAAAATTGTCTATTTGAGGGATAATTCTAGGACTGGTTCTATATGGAGATGGTGTCAAGGAGGTGTGGGATGGAGATGGGAGATTTCATGGAGCCTGGTCAGCAAGCTCTGTACCGGGTTGAACACCGAGGAGCTGTCAAAGTATCTGGAGTTTCTTCATTGTAAGGAGTAAGGGCTTCCAAGATGGGGCGGGTAGTCAGTACAGCTTACCAGGAACGTGTGTGTGTGTGTGTGTGTGTGTGTGTGTGTGTGTGTGTGAGAGAGAGAGAGAGAGAGAGAGAGAGAGAGAGAGAGAGAGATGGTTACACTGAGTTGTGTTTTCAGCATCATATTGGTCAAGATAGCCAAGCAATTTGTATGGTTTCTGTGGCTAGTGATAAATTGTTTTCTGGTCAGTGTGTGTAATCTTTGTGTCTCCTTTTTGCCAAGCACATTCTGACTTCCTTGTTCAAACGCAAATCTAGTTTCTAATGGAAACATTTTTTGTTCCTTATCTTTCTTCTGCAAGGGACATGACTTAATTGTTTTTGTACAAAATGAGATGCAGGAAAAGAAAATTCACCCCTGCCCGAGTCCAACAAGTAGATGCCATTTAATATAGAAGTCTTCACTCGGTGCAAAAAGGTAATACCAAGAGCTTGTGTTTGTTACCTTAGTCACCTGACTAGCACTGTGGCTACAGAAACTTCAGAAATTTTCTCAGTCTGCAAATTGGCATTTCAGATATACCAAGATAAAAATTCACCTGTGTCTGCCAAATGTGTATGTGTTCAATGTGGCTTTAGATTCTGTCCCTGGGGCTTAAAACACTGCTGGCCCTGACAGTATGGGGGAAGCCCCAAGAATTTATTGAGCAGCTGGCCTGGGTCACAGTGGCCTGACCTCAAACCAGCTTAAGGCTTTAAGTCCTCTCAGAACTTGGATCTCCAGCATCTCCCCTTCTAGGTGAGAGGGAAGTGGGGAAGAGTTAAGTATAGGCTCATCAGGACACTCGATCACTCCTGAGTTTTTAATGGTTCCCAGGAGGTGATACCATTCTGTGCTCAGCTGAAATACTAACCCCAGGAATCAGAACTCCTTTTCAAATAGTTTTGGCCATTCTGAGCCTGCTTTTGTGATTGCTCATCCATCGTTGTCCACTAGAGGGGCTAAGCTTGACTGCCTTAGCCAGGCAAGCGCAGAAATATGTGTTGTTTAATTCAGCATTCTTATGCAAAAATCCACTAGTTGAGATGGTTTGTTTTAGGATAGGAAATGAAATTGCCTCTCAGTGACTGGAATGGCCCGAGCCTGCTTCCTCTTTAGATTTTTTTTTGAACTGATGAATGGTGCAGCATGTCTACATGGTTGTTTGTTGCTAAACTTAATATAATGTGTGGTTTCAATTCAGCTTGAAAAATAATCTCACTACATGTAGCAGTACATTATATGTACATTATATGTAATGTTAGTATTTCTGCTTCAAATCCTTGATATTGCAATGGAATTCCTACTTTATTAAATGTATTTGATATGCTAGTTATTGTGTGCGATTTAGACTTTTTTTTGCTTTCTCCCTTTTCTGGTTGTGCGCTTACTTTTACAGCAAGCCTCTAGAAACAGATAGTTTCTGAGAATTACTGAGCTATGTTTGTAACGCAGACGTACTTAGGGAGTATGTAAAATAATCATTTTAACAGAAGAAATAGATATTTAAAATTTAATACTAACTACGGGAAAAGGGTCCATTGTGTAAAACATAGTTTATCTTTGGATTCAATGTTTGTCTTTGGTTTTACAAAGTAGCTTGTATTTTCAGTATTTTCTACATAATATGGTAAAATGTAGAGCAATTGCAATGCATCAATAAAATGGGTAAATTTTCTGATTCACGTGACTATTTTTGACTTCTGTTGTGGGGTACATGGTGGATCAACATATGATGTCTTTTTGGAGCAACCAAACACAATTGCATTCTTTATACAGAGTTCCATAATGGGAACGAATAGGATTTCATAGGAAATGTGCCGGACCATCTGAATCTGACCCTTTGAAAGAGATAGAAGGGTTCTGAGACAGGCTAATTAAACTTTGCTTCCTGACATTTTTCACCAAACATTTAAGGCAGCAGTGTGTCGGGTGGGCCAGTGGTGCAGTGGCTAATGTGTCGGACTATGCATTATTGAGTGAATCCCCACAGGAAGAGTCCCCCACCCAAAGCTGCGTTGGTAGAAGCATGGTCCTTTTCAGTAAAGGACCACCTCTGATCAGACTTATTTTGATTCTAAATTGGGTAAAACTTCTGATAAAGAGGGATTTACCTAGATTAATTACTGCAAGTCTCTGAATAAATGCTGTATTTGGTATCTTTGACACATTTTTGGGCCAAGTTTTCCTTACTGTGGCTGTTAATTCATTTTGTGGTCCTGCAGCCTTAGTTGGGATACAAAATTGAGAAGCACTTAGATATACCCTTTGGACCACAGCCGAGAGAAATGATCAGTAGTCTGTTTTATTCCAGTAGTAGGGAGGTGAGGATTCATTGACTGTGAGTTAGACTGCAGTACACATTTTTCAGATGTTTTCCCCTGTTAATAAATTAATGTAAATTGGTGTGAATGCTTCTCAGTGTGGTAAGAGAATATCCCTGAATGTCTTCAGGCAAAAAGCCGACAGACAAAAAACATGTAACATGGCTGTGCTGTCATTCTTACATTCAGAAAATCAAGTTAGTTTACTGATTTTTTAGTGACCTGATAACCTTGTTTTGTTTTGTTTTTATCTGCTGTATTCTCTTCCTGGGGCTGAATCAGAGAGAGAGAGAGAGAGTCAGACACTGGCATGGACCTCTAAGTAACTGAGTGGTCTGTGGGGAAATCTGCATTTTAATGATGAAAGCCATTATACTTCAGTCTCCTTGGCTGGCTTTGTGGAAAATTTTCCACATGGGGTGGAGTCCAAGCCTTGATGCTGTTAATCGTGAGAGAGAACACCAGGTGCTTGGCACAAGATGGCGCCAGTGAGCTACAGAAAAAGTTAAACTTGACCATTTTGGCTCTTCACCTCCTCCCCTCAAACTTCATCCCCCGCCCCATCCCCACTTCCAGCTTACACTGAAGGAGGCAGAAAACAGTCCATTTTGTTCCTGTGAGAGAGGGAGTGCTGTCAGCTTCTGAAACTGAGGGGGAGAGTTTGCTGTTTCCTCCGGGGTCCCTGCCTCCTGCAGCCAGCTCTTTCCTCTGGGTGACTGCCCAGAGGCCGCCTGCCCCCCCTTCTCCGCCCTCTCCCCCCTCTCCCTCTTGGGGCGCCTACAGCCTGTGCGGGAGGTGGTTAGGCTCCTGGCTGCTGTGCAATGGGCCATCTGTGTTTAATCAATCAAGGCGGAAAAGGAGGGGGTGGGGATTGTGAAGAAACTGGGAAAGCATTCCAGAGTAGTGAGAGAGACCCGGAGATCAGAAGGAAGGCACCGCCCCCCACCCCGCCTCCAAAGCCAGCCCGCAGGCTTGAGGGGAAGAGGCCGAGTGCACACTTCTTCCACTCTCGACCCACTCTTCACGCTGCCATGGGGCCCAGCATTCCTCTCCTCTTCTTCTTCCTTTTGTCATGGTCAGGACCCCTTCGAGGACAGCAGCACCACCTTGTGGAGTACATGGAACGCCGGCTAGCTGCCTTAGAGGTGAGGGACTCCTTTCTCTTCTAGCCTAGCCTGGAAGGATTCTACATCTTTGATTGGTTCAACCGACCAATTTGTTAGGCATCTGGGGGTGACAGGATAGGATGCTGCAAGAACCTACAGAAGATTTTGTCTTTTGATGAGAGAATCCTCCAACTACAAGCCCTCCTCTCTCCCCACACAGAGGATTCCAAAGCAAACAGACCTTTGTGCTTTACCCACGGAATTAGATGGGGTAAGGGAGCAGAGTGGAAATGAGAGCCAGGACGGTGGGGATGCAACCGGAGGAGCTGATGATTCTGCTGAGTTGAGGTTCCCGAGGAATCTGCAGCTTCCTGCCTTTTTAAGCCAGTGTGCTATCTGCAGCATCCTAATCCCTGTGAAGTGAACTGCACGGTGGAGGAGGGAGCCCTTGCCGCCTTCATGCACCGAGGCTTCCCTTGAACCTCAGAGGGCACAGTGGCCCTGCTCACAGGGTACACAGGGTGGAGGCACGGAGTAGGGGTAGGGTAGGGGCCGAGGTGAAGCTGAGCTGGGCTGTTGCACACTTAGCACCTCTGGACATCTGGTTTTCTTTTCTGTGGGGGCGGAATGGGCTATTAAAGCCTGGCTGAGTTTGTTCTTTTTCGCATTCCTGACTCCCTGGTTGGGCCTCCCCCTGCCTGGGACTTGTAACCCTGCAGCCCTCTCTCCTGATTCCCCATCCCTTCAGGAGCGCCTGGCCCAGTGCCAGGACCAGAGCAGTCGGCATGCTGCCGAGCTGCGGGACTTCAAGAACAAGATGCTGCCGCTGCTGGAGGTGGCAGAGAAGGAGCGGGAGGCGCTCAGAACCGAGGCTGACACCATCTCCGGCAGAGTGGACCGTCTGGAGCGGGAGGTTGACTATCTGGAGACCCAGAACCCAGCTCTGCCCTGTGTGGAGTTTGATGAGAAGGTGACTGGAGGCCCTGGGACGAAAGGCAAGGGCAGAAGAAACGAGAAGTACGATATGGTAACAGGTAAGTGGTCTCAAAGCAGGCCCCTCACGCTCTCAGTAGCCGTTCTTTCGTTCTTTTTTAAGATTTATTTATTTACTTGAAAGGCAGAGAGAGAAAGAGGTCTTCCATCCATTGGTTCACTCCCCAAGTGGCTGCAACGGCCAGAGCTGGGCTGATCCGAAGCCAGGAGTTTCATCCAGGTCTCCTACGCGAGTGCAGGGACCCAAGGACTTGGGCCACCTTCCACTGCTTTTCCAGGCCACTGCAGAGAGCTGGATCACAAGTGGGGCAGCCGGGACTCGAACTGGCGCCCACGTGGGATGCCGGCACTGCAGGCAGTGGCTTTACCTGCTATGCCACAGCACTGGCCCCCTCAGTAGCCTTTCTTCCTTGTTTCTCTTTCCTCTTTGTCCTTGTCCACTGTGACTCCAGCTTCTAGAGTGTGTGTTCGGGTGATCTCTGTAATGACAGGTCCATGAAGGAGAGCTGCTGGGGACCCAGACCTCTGAGGTACCCTCCATTCCCCAGTCCTCCACAAGAGTGGGGACATCTACCGGGCAAACGACCACTGTTCTCCCCATATCCCGCCTCGCGGGGGGTTCCTGCTGTAGGCATACAACTCTCGCCTCTTATTTCCTTTTCTTGTGCTTTTCTCCTTCCCCCACCAGACTGTGGCTACACAATCTCTCAGGTGAGGTCAATGAAGATCCTGAAGCGGTTCGGTGGCCCAGCTGGTCTGTGGACCAAGGATCCAATGGGCCCAGCGGAGAAGATCTACGTGTTAGATGGGACACTGAATGACACAGCCTTTGTCTTCCCGAGGCTGCGGGACTTCACCCTTGCTATGGCTGCCCGGAAAGCTTCCCGAGTCCGGGTGCCCTTCCCCTGGGTGGGCACCGGGCAGCTGGTGTATGGTGGCTTTCTGTATTATGCCCGGAGGCCTCCCGGAGGGCCTGGAGGTGGTGGGGAGTTGACCACTTTGCAGCTCATCAAATTCCACCTGGCCAACCGAACAGTGGTGGACAGCTCAGTGTTCCCAGCAGAGGGGCTGATCCCTCCGTATGGGCTGACAGCAGACACCTACATCGACCTGGCAGCCGATGAGGAGGGCCTGTGGGCTGTCTATGCCACCCGGGAGGATGACAGACACTTGTGTCTGGCTAAGTTAGACCCACAGACACTAGACACAGAGCAGCAGTGGGACACGCCGTGTCCCAGGGAGAATGCTGAGGCTGCCTTTGTCATCTGTGGGACCCTCTACGTCGTCTATAACACGCGCCCTGCCAGTCGGGCCCGCATCCAGTGCTCCTTTGATGCCAGTGGCACCCTGACCCCTGAACGGGCAGCACTGTCTTACTTTCCCCGCCGATACGGTGCACATGCCAGCCTCCGCTATAACCCCCGGGAGCGCCAGCTCTATGCCTGGGATGATGGCTACCAGATTGTTTATAAGCTGGAGATGAGGAGGAAAGAGGAAGAAGTTTGAGGAGCTGGCCTTGTTTTTGGAGTCCCTCTCACCCCCATACATTTCTATCCCTGCTGGATTTCCTGCTCCTTGTTCTCCAGAGGTCAGCAGGTCGTGCCTCAATGTCCCCTATTTTTTTAGCCAATGGCATCCAGGTTCTCATAGACCCATTGTTTCAGATGGAACTCCAGATGCCAAGGCATCTTTTTAGAGCTAAAAATGTCAAAACTCTGAATGTTCACTGCTGCTCTCCCACCCCATGTCAAAGGATCTCAGGCTCCAGTCAGCCTAGAACCAGAGCACTGCAACCCCAGGGACTGGGCAACGGTGTGTGTGTTCTTGCCCTGTGTGCGACTTCTGGGAGAGCAGTCGAAGAAAGACCCAACACTGCCCTCCCTCTCACCCCCTTCTCCACCTCACTTTGTATTGCAACATTTTGCATTAAAAAGAAAATCCACTCCTCCTTTCCTGTGTGTGTTTGGGGTAGCCCTCCTATCAAATGCCTCCCCATGACCACTCACTGTAGTCTTCCTCCCATCCCATCCCCACTCTCCCCGTCACTTTAGGGACTTGGCTGGGCTCCCTTTGCCAAGGGAGAGGGAGCTTCTCGAGTTACAGGTTTTACTGAGAGGCGCTTGGGGAAGCTGCTGAATCCCGCCCCTTCAGGGGGCTGGGGGAGCAGCCTTCCAAGAGCAGCCATCCCAGAACTACCAATGGCACTGGGGGTGGGGGTGGGGCAGGGCTTCCAGCTCCAGTTCGCAGAGGATTCTGTG